GAAAATAGGGGCTTTTCTCTTTTTAAGGTGCATACAGGTCTGAATACTGTCAGAAAACAATGGCCATGAGTTCCTTGAATTGAGCTGCTTTTTGGTTTCTCCACATCTGCCCCAGTCAGTGAAAACATTGTAGGCTTTACTAAGGGCTCCCTGGGCTGGGGATTTGGAGAGTGCTGTTGCTGGAGGGGCTGTAGCACTTGGGCGAGGTGGTTCTCTGGCCACCCATGGAACTGAAGGGTTGAGGCCCCTCCCCAAGTCATCTTCCCCAAACCGGGACTTTTCAGCTGTCCTGGAGCCAGTCGCAGCTCACAGCCAAAGGTCTTTGCTTTTGTTTTTTTTAAATGCACCTGGCGGCCATGGCCACTGGTCGCTAGCCAGGGGGCGGTCCCCGCCCAGCTTTCCTGTGAGCCCCTGACTCGCGCAGGTCGTGGTCATGTGAGCCCGACTCCTGCCGGTTGCTGGCCGGGGGATGGCCCGTGCACACGTGTTAGTTCAAGGTGGGTGGGGTGGGTGGCTTTTGCCACTGACCCTATGCCCCATGTGCTCTGCTCTGCCCCACCCTTCTGCCTGGGAGGCTCTGAAGCTGGCTTGTTACTTTGGCTGCTTTTGGGTTTACTTCTCTTGCATTTCTGCCTTCTTTCTCAAACACTTCCCATGATTCCCATGTATCCCCAGTGAAAACATTAGCCCCAAGTAGCCAGGGAGCCAAATGAATCGCCTCTGCCCAAACCTTTTGAGCTACAGGATCTGACAAATCCAATCCCCTGCTTTTAAGAATATCTCTCAGTGCTTTAAGTGCTGGGTCTTCAAACTTAAAAATTGTGTTACCCATTTTTAGGGTCTTGCTTACCCCGAACCTCCTCAATTGGCCGCAATCCGTTTTTGCTTCTTTCTTACTTTTTCTTTCTTCTTTTCACCTTCCTTCGAGCCCCACGTTGGCCGCCAGATGACGGGGGTTCGAACCAGCGACCCCCGGCGAGGTGAGGATTGGGGATGAGTAAGCACGCAGTTCGCCAGCCCATGCCGCCCCCATTACCTGGGGACACTCAGATGCAACGGGGAGTCTAGTCAAGCAGGGACTCATTTATTGCAGGTGTTACAAAGCTTATAAAGGCACCTGGAACTCCCCCCTCCCCCGTGAGGGTGTATGTTAAGGATGGTCACGTGCTGATCATGCACTCCTCAGCAGTGCGGAAGTATTCTTCAGACTTTCAAAGCAAGCCAGGCTGCGCCCCCAGTAACCTCCTTTAGGACCTATGCAAGGTGGGGCCTTTAGGTCCCCACACAGTACAATCAACCTCCTGTCAACTTGACATACAAACATCACCATTAAACCATAACCTTTCCAATTCTTGTCCCAAAGACACAATATTAACAATATCACAACATAAGAGAGTACACCTTAAAAGCCCCACAGTCCTTAAAAAATCCAAACACTTAAAAGTCCACAGTATTTTAAAAGTCTTTTAACTGTGGATGGGTTTTGGTAAAATCCAAAAGAAGTACTGTTTTATTTCAAAGGGGAGAATCGGGCACACTAAACAAAACCAAAGTCTAGCAAAGTAGTTCGAGGCTGGACATCTGGAATTCATTCCCGATCTTCTGGGCTCTGAAGGGTTCTGGCAGCTCTACTTCTCTGACTCTGCCATCCACAGCACACACAGCTTGTCTTGCAGACCCAGACCAGCTCCATTTCATACCTACTGCTGTCCTTGGTGGTCGTCCCATGGTTCCGGCATCTCCAAAAAGCTGGGGTTTCCACTGAAACTGAGGCTACACCTTCACCAATGGCCTCTTCTTGTCTCTTGGGGTGCAACGCCTCAGAGTCTCTCCATGACCCCTTCAGTCCTGGGGTCTTCACTACAACTGAAGCTGCACTTTCACCTATGGCCTTTCCTGGCCTCTCAGAGTGCCAAGCCTCAGCTGCTCTCTGTGACCCCCTTCATGCTTTCAACACCAGAACCACACAGGAGGCTCTTACACATCACCAAGTCCTGCTTCCAGCTTGACATAGAGACTCGGGTCCCCTGTGTGCTGAGGAAATACCTCCCAGAAGACTTCACCACAGTGATGCTGGTCTCTTGTTACGTACAGCTGATTTTTCAGCCCCAGCTAACCAGCATCAATTGTCCCAGTAAAGCAAAGGTTTTACTTCAGATTCTGGTCTCTTAATCATAGCTGATTCTGCAGCCACAGCCAACCAGAACCCACATATTCTCAATTCAAAATATCACATGAACAGCCCTGATAAATCTCTGCTTCCCTTTGAAGCTTCACAAGCCAGGCCTCCACCATCCACAACTCTTTCAACATAACTGTTCCAAGCTCCACAGCAACAAACTCTAAGTACTCAATGAGTTTTCCAACCCAAAGTTCAGAACACTTCCACAATCCTCCCAAAAACAACTAGGTCAGGACTGTCCCAGCAGTACTCAACTCTCTGGCACCAATTTCTGTCCTAGTTTGTTTCTTCATTGCTGTGACAAAACACTCTGACCAATACCAACTTGGGAAGGAAAGGGTTTACATCTCCCATGCCACAGTTCATCAGGGAGCCCAAGGTAGGAACTCAGGGCAGGAACGTGGAGCACAGGCCATGGAGGAGCGCTGCTTACTGGCTTGCTCCCCTGGCCCCTGCTCAGCCTGCTTTCTTATGCAACACAGGCCCACCTGCCCAGACATGGCACCACCCACAGTGGGCTGGGCCCTCCCACATCACTCATCAAGAAGATGCCCCTCAGACAGGGCCACAGGCCAGTCCAATAGAGGAAATTTCCCAACTGAGGCTCCCTCAACCCAGGTGAGTCAAGTTGACACTAAAGCTATCCAGTCAGTACACCTGCTCTCCAGATCCAGGAGCCACAGAACCTCCCATGCTTGTTTTGCTGCTCCCCCTTTTCATCCTGAAGGTTAAACCACAAACTCTGGTTTAACATGTCCTGACTACACATTCTTTAAGTTGCAGTTCAGAACTGTTTAGAGTCAGAACTATCTAGTTTGAGACCCACATTTCATGTATTTTTGATTGGGGGATGTCACATAATCAACTTTTAGTGACGAAGAAAAAATCTATAGCAGTCACTGCCACAGAGTTTTAAAAGGGCAGTATGACTCATAATGGCAGGATGGTTACTTGAAACTGAGCTTGGTCATGGACATGCCTTTCTAAGGAATAACAAAAATAATGGAGAGAGCAAGTCCCCAGGGGAAGCTTGGAGGAGGAAGCAAGGATCAGGGGAGGAGTGGGAAATTTCTAGATGAGAGCAAAGGATGCTTGCAAGGCATGAGACACTGAAGGCAGCTTTTGGTGTATATAGTGTTGATGGGTGAGAACTGAGGCAAACAAATAGGGAGGGAGGTTAGAATGAATGAGAATCCATGCATTCTGTAGCGCTGAGCTCCCTGGGAAAACTTTTTTGTCCTGTTCATCTCTCTTTTCATCTGGGTTGGCACTGGCTTTTTAAAAGTAGATGCGCTCATTAAGAGCCTATATGCAGGCTGGAGAGATGGCTCAGTGGTTAAGAGCACTGGCTGCTCTTGCAGAGGACCTGCGTGCAAGTCCCAGCACCAACACGGCAGCTAACAACTGTCTGTAACTCCAGTTCCAGGGGATCCGACTCCCTCTTCTGACCTCCACAGGCACTGTACAATACCGGTGCACTTAGATAATGCAGGCATAACACTCATACACATAAAATAATTTTAAAAGAATAGCCTATATGCATCAGATTCATTATAGGTTTGAGACATTCCTCATTTAATCCTTAAAATCTGAGGTTACTACTGATGGGTCTTTATGGTTGAGAAGACAGGCTTAAAGAGCCTGTGTAACAAGAAAGGTAAAATACCTAAAAGAGTCAACTGTAAACCTTGATTGCACTGACCTGCAATCCACCTTCAGACCATTGCACTGCTCAATAATTAGACTTCTCTACTTTATCCAGTTTCCCTAGATTCTAGCCAAGAGACAAATTCGCTGGACCTTATTCCTCAGTTTTGGGGACTGATTTCTGAGATCAGGGTCCAAGCATGGGTGGTTGTTGACGAGGGTTCATGTGGGCTGCAGATGGCTGATGTTTGGCTGCATCCTCATGTGTCCTTATTAGCTTCGTACTGCACTACACCCATTCATTATGTTCCACTCTCATGAACCAGTAATAACTTCCGAAGATGGAAGTTATTACCATCACATCAGGGATTAGCATTTACACCCACAGCACTCCCCCATAACCATGTCTACTGAAGGGTGTGAGGGATTAACTGAGTAGTAGAGTGCATGAGGTCCTTGAACTTGATCTTCAGCACTCCCCAAAAGTAAACCAAACCAAAGCAAACTAAAACGCCAGTGGTCATTTTTCAGAGTTCTGAATCTTAAAAATAAGGATAATCATACATTTATTCCATAGTTGTGAAGAGCAAATGTAACAAGACATATAAGTGTTTTACCAGATAAGAGATACTCCATAAATGTTATTAGTTTCATGAAATGCTACAAATGCAAGGTAGGTGAAGAAAAGAATGATTAGAATTTTATAGCCGATAATTAGAATTCAAAGGACATTGAAAACATGATACTAAAGGGAATTCAGTTTAAAAAACAAACTACTTTGAGACAGGATCTCCCTGTAGCCCCAGCTGGCCTGGAACTCACTATGTAGACCAGGCTGGCCTCAATCTCAGAGATCCACCTGCCTCTGCCTCCTGAGCGCTGGGACAAAGACGTGGAGTCAGAAAACTATTATATTTTTAAATATGTGAATAAGAAACTAAAAACAATGCTAAGAACTGAGCCTATTAAGATTAGGGTGAATTAGGGCTGGGTGTGATGGGTGGCCCATGCCTTTAATCCCAGCACTCTGGAGGCAGAGGCAGGCGGATCTCTATGAGTTCAAAATAGCAAGTTCCAGACCAGCTGGGGCTACAGGCAGACCCTGTCTCAAAAAGACCAAAAAAAAAAAAAAAAAAAAAAAAAAAAAAAAAAAAAAAAAAAATTAGGGTGATTTGGTATAAAAGCTGGGGAAGGTTATCCCAGAATGCAGAATGCTGCTTGGTAGGCTAGCAGCTGCTTTTGCAGTCTGTGTTTTGTGAATCTCTGCTATCCCAAAGCATCTCCTTTACCTTCCTTACCAGATTATACAGTGTCTGAAATTACACATGACCCAGTCATCTGAATTCAGGTTAAATATTGATGGAAAAAGGGTTGCATATTTAAACTGATTTTAGAGAAGCTTGAGAATAGGAGGCAGAACACAACAAAGGGAAGTGAAACATAGTTTATACTTTTCCAAGAAAAATTTTTCTAATAAATTCACTTCCTTCAATATTATCATTTAGCACTGCAGACTAAAAGGGGAATGTACCTTTATTTTGCAAAACTCAGCATATCTTCGCTGGTTGTGGTGGCTCCCATCTTTAATCCTAGCACCCACTAGGCAGAGGCAGGAGGCTAGATCTCTGTGATCTAACCAGCCTCAATGGTGAAATCTTGCTACAAACAAATAAACAAACAAACACAGAAAACCCCTAAAACTTAATGTTATGGGATTAATGTGTTTTGAGTTTTAAAAAGAATTTAAACAAGGTATTCATAATATCTTTATTAAAATATACATTTAAAATACATATCTTTTTTCAAAAATTACACGAGCATCTATGAGGGACTAATAAAAATTAATAGATAACAACAGACTCTAAATACAACTGATAAAAAACTAATATTCCTTAGAAAAGATACATTACTTAGCTTTTAACAAGAATATTCTTTATAGAAATGAGCTGGTCTTTACCATCACAGAACTGTCACATCTACACCTATTTCAGAGAGAAGGGAGATCAGCTCTCACTCCATTGCAGAGCTGACACCACAGCACTTCTCCGTGTAGAGCAGCAGCCTCTGCTGGAGAAGGGAAGCTAGACATTGTTAGCTCTAACTTGTGTGAACTGGAAGGACTGTCAGATCTCTGTCATCAATGAATTATTCTCAAGGTCTTAAGGATGACCGGGCCTTATCCAGTATATCCTTTCTGATTTTTGGATATGTTGGATGTGCTTTAAGAACCTGAGAGAAAACAAAACAAAACCAAAGCAAAATAACTTGTAATCAATTTTATAATTAACTGTTGAGAACTAGGGAGATGTGAGTCTTCCTAAAAATGAGCATTACAGTTGAGTGCTCACTGTATTAATCCCATAACTTAGCTGGAATGTGATGACTTGTTTATATCAACAGGTAAGAACAGCAGATTATGGATGCCACTTGTAGAAATAAAACCTAACTGCTTCATTACCAGATGACTTACAGGAAAACAACTTAAAATTGTAATTTAGCTACTTTTAATGATGCTTAACAAACTCCTGGAGAGTGATTTTAACAAGGAACACACATAGATTTACATGGACTAATTTGATTCCTAGGCTTACTGTGTTCAAGAATAGAGAAGTTATTAATTTAAAGAGATATAACTCCGTAAGTAATTCTCTCGTATAACCTACTTTAGTGTCCAACCTTACCCGTAGTAAGGAACATGAGCTCCAGAAGACTCAATAATCAACAGTAATCTCTGAAACCAAGTATTTACTACAGTAATGCTGATAAATAGCTAAATGAGATAACGGACAGGAAATAATTCTTATCCTGGAACTATTGGCAATATTTCATATAATGCCTCACATGGACAATCAATAGGATATGGTTCATATAAAGAAACTCTGGAAATCCTAAAACTAGAATTTAAATATATGTCATTTTAATAGGGGATTGTTACAGGATGAGAAGCAGACATATATTCTAAATACAGAATATTTTTTATCTCTCATTTGCAAATCTGAATTCTCAAATACAGATTTAGATATATTCATAAGAACTTCTACTTAAAATAATGACCCAAGGAATCAATACTATCTTTAAATACTTTCTTTGTAAAACATAGTTTTTGTTTTCGTTTTATGCATATGAATATTTGCCTGCATATGATATATGTATAGCACTTGAGTGCCTGATGCCTGCAAAGATCAGAAGAAGATGCTGGGTCCCCTGGAACTGTAGTTACAGACTGCCACGTGAGTGCTGGGAACCCAATCTGGTTCCTCTACAACAGGAGCAAGTGCTCTTAACCACTGAGCCATCTCTCTAGCCACCTCAAATATTTTCTAACATGTTTTTCTTACTAGCCTATATCTTTAAATTGACAGAAATATTTTACGATTTGAAACCCAATTAAAAATAAATCATTGTTTTAAATAGATTTATTTTCTACTTTTGACTACTGATCATTTGTCTAAAAGACAATAAATATTTAGCCAGAAGATTACAACCTCTATTTCTTCCTATTCAAAGATTAAAAGGAAATTATGTATCTGTATAATTTTAAGAAATTGAAATTTAAGTATTTACCTGGTGACATATATCAATTGCATCCACATATCGCTTTGCTTTTAAGTAATTAAATGCCAATTTGTATCCTGTAAAGACAAAAAATAATAATGCTACAGTGGTACAGTGATAGTATTTTCTTTTCTTTCTCCTTTATTGACTCATTAGAGAAGCCCTAAGGGAAACTGTTGGCCAAACTATCACAGAGAGGAAGTGATATGATAATAGAAATCAAAGTGAAATTAAAGAAAATGGAATTGGATGAAAGGCCACAGTGACTGTAACTGTCAGGTGAGAAGTCCGAGGTTCCACAAGTGCGGTTTCTTTAATTTACTAAAACAGTGGCAATGATTTTAGTTACAGTAAAAATTCATCACAGAGGCCAGGCCTGGTGGCGCATGCCTTTAATCCCAGCACTGGGGAGGCAGAGGCAGGTGGAGCTCTGTGAGTTCAAGGCCAGCTTGGTCTACAAAGTGAGTTCCAGGCCAGCTGGGGCTATAGGGAGACCCTGTCTCAAAACGACCAAAAAAAAAAAAAAAAAATTCACAGAACAGTAGACAACGCTCCCATTCATTCATGCAGTATAAATTCATTTAGTACTTATTAGGGAAAATAATTCCTGTAGTTAACGGTCTATTAGGAGAGGAAGTACATTATTTAAGTAATTGCATGAATAAATTTCAAACCGAGATAAATTACATGTGCAAAAGATCCAAGTCAAGACCCAATCCATGGGAATCATAGGAACATGACTCAGAGAAAGATGGTGTCAGGGATGCTTGAAATGGAAGATGAAGCCCAAGTAAGCCAGGCTGGGAATCAAGAACCCCTTCATTTCAGGCAGAGGGAACTGTATGGGTCAAGACCAGCAGTAAGACATAACCACTTCAAAGTCTGAGCCAAGAAGACAAAATGTCATAGAGCAGCACAGGTGGGTGAGTTAGATATCAGCTATTCCAAATCAATTAATAGCAAGACTTATCACAATTACACAAATAGATATGTCATTCTTCTAGAGTTGACAACTAGAAGAATGTTTAAAGATAATCAAATGATTACTGCTAGTCTGTAAGAATACTGTAAAAGGGGCCAGAGAGATGGCTTAGTGGTTAAGGGCACCATGTGGGTTTGATTCCCAGCACCCACATGGTGGCTAACAATTGTCCATAGCTCCAGTTCTAGGGGAATCCAACACCCTCTTCTGACTCTCAGGGCATTGCATGGCACAGGTCACTCACATACATGCAGGCAATACATGAATACACATAAAAATAAAAAAAAAATAAAAAAGAATACCGTAGAATAAGAACCTTATGAACAAGGCAAGCTAAGTAACAGATGGTGTGGTTTGTAAGACAGAATATAAAATGATATGTAATAATAACTATCCAACATTACATATTACAAATAGGAAGCAGAAAAATGGGAATGTTGCTCATGGGCTCTTATAAAAGGACTGTTCTCCAGTTTCATTTCTGTTGCTGTGATAAAATGTCCTGACCAAAAAAAGCAACTTAGGGGAGAAAAGGTTTACTTATCTGGCTTACAATTCTAAGTTATAGTCTGTCCATCATTTCAGGTAAGTCAAGGCAGGAGCTCAAGCAGCTATCATACCATAGCCACAGCCAAGAGCAAAGAGAAGATAAACATATCCTTGCTTGCCTGCTTCCTGACAGCTTTCCTTACTTTTTCAAAAAGTTTTATTGAGCTTTTATAATTTCATACAACAGTTCTTAATCAAATTTAGACCCCCTTCCCCATCCATGCCCCTTCTCTCCCCATCCCCTCCACCAGAGGCATTCTGCCATATATGCAAAGTCCTATCCAGTCAAGCATTTGTACCCAGATGTCCCCCAGTGCAAACCTGTCCACTGGAGTCCAGTCAGCCCATTCAGAGATGGTATGTAAGGCATACTCTCCCTCACCCAGTAGCAATCAGTCTCCAGTAGTTCTCAGTCTAGGACTTGCCAACCACCCATTTCTCTCATCCTCGCTGGGCCCTTGTCTGATTGAGTTGGCATGGGTCTTGTGCTTGATGCCAGTGTTGCCACAAGTTTATATGTACAAGCTTCCAGTGGCCTGAAAGCCTCTGCTTCCCCTTGTTCATGGACAGTCCTGGCTCTTACAATCTTTCCATCCCCTCTTCCACAATGGTCCCTGAGCCATGGATGGATGACATTCAATACAGGAGTCCTATCCAGGGATACACACTCTTCAGTCTGTTATTCTTTAGAACTTGGCCAGTTGTGGCCTTCTGTGTGTATCACACTCTTGTTATATAAAGAAGCTTTACTGGTGAGAATTGAGGGATGCATTAGTACTAGGTGACACATCTACTGTTGAACCTCTACACCTAAGGTTCACGGAACATAGCAGAGCAAAGGCTAGAGGGAAGGCTTTCTTTACTCTTACACTGTTCAGGGTACACCTGCCTAGGAAATAGTGCCACCAGGGACTGGGGTGGCACTAATGGATGCCACCATGGGCTAGGTTTTTCTGTGTAAAATTATAAAGACACTCCCCCACAGACATGCCCACAAGACAACCTGATCTAGACAGTTCCTCAACTGAGATTCTCTTCTCAGGTGATTCTAGGTTATGACAAGTTGACAATCAAAAACTAGCCATCACAGACCAGAACAAAAATTTAAAAATTCAAACATATATTTGAAAAGATTTGACTAGCTAATATAATCATATGGTGAGAAAAAGAATTATCCAAAACTCACAATGTTTGGTAGTAAATATATATATGTTATACATCTTAAGTTCAAATATACACATGTTTATATGTGTGTATGTTATGTATATACACTCAAGTACACATACAGAATTAAGAAAGTGAAAAGTTTCTGAGAGACAAATTCAAGGTTAAAACCAAGGAATTCTAAAATGGACTAATAGCCAATAATATTTAAAAGGAAAACAAGATTCACATCAAACAATTATACAAGGGAGCTACTCAAAACATTTAAGTTTGGATTTCTGGCGTGCTAACTTTGGAACTTTGTGCACATTCCTCGAGCAATCAATTTTCAGTTTCCTCAACTGGGAGAAATGGAAAACAACTCCTCCCTTCTCCTACTATATTTTAAAGATCAAATGCTATACTTAATTTTAACATGTTTTTATAATCTTTGGAGTATCACATAAATAGCAATTTTTTTCTAGGTAAACAAATAGCACATTAAAATAATCATGTGAATGTTGGAAGGAAGTTGCTAAGATCCTCTTGTACAAAATAATTTAGAAAAAAAAATAAAGGGCTAGGAAGGGCAAGGAATGTGTGCAGGGCAGGTATACTACATCTGTCAAAAAATGCAAAAACTCAACTGTTAGGCATCCAGGAGAAAAAGAGAGACAGACCGTGTAGTCTAGTGGCTGCCATGCAACCGAGTACAGGTGTAAATGCATTCTTTCCTCAACTCAGTTCCTACTGCTCCTCTTTCTATTTTAAAATGTCTTTCATTTTACATGTGTTCTTGTACACATTTATATAAGGTGTGTATACGTATATGTATGTATGTACATGTGCAAGCAGGGGTGTGTGTGTGTGTGTGTGTGTGTGTGTGTGTGTGTGTGTGAGAAACTATAACTGGAGTCAAGCAAATGGTCCTACCCATCCTGGTGTCCTTCACAATGACAACTCTCAATTCTGAAACAGTATGTGGATCTTAAGATTTCTTGACAAGAGTGAATTTCATTATTAATTTGCTCAGGCAGACAGGAGTAGTGGATATAATGACAATCTTTTAAAAAAAAGTTTATGTGTATGAGTGTATTGCTTGTGTATATGTAAGTGCACCCATGCCATGCAATGCCTATGGAAGTCAGAAGAGGGTGTGGATCCCTTGAAACTGGAGTTACAGATGGTTGTTAGCTGCCATATGGATGCTGGGAATCAAACCTAGGTCCTCTGCAAGAGCTATCAGTGTTATTAACCACTGAGACATCTCTCGAGCTCCATAATGACAATTTTAAGGGAGAAACTAAATAATTGAAAATGTCACAGGGAGATCTTTTACAGAAATATTGGGGGTACTGGTAAGATCATCTATAAACTATGATGATGTAAGGAAAGATCTAGTGAGTAGGAAATCTCTATTTTCTGAAGCTTTCCTAGAAACAATATGTACATATAAAATAAATATATAAATAACTTCTATATACATTACTTTTGGGAAGTAAATTATCAAAAATTTTTAGATTTTAAGGGTAATTTAAGAAATTTCCATTTTATAATTCAATTATATTTCATAGGATATATAATACCTGGGAATGATAAATACTTATCATTTGTTCCTGTACTTTACACAAATTGAGTAATGTAACAGACTCCAGAAAAATTCAAGCCAAGGGGCTGGAGAGAAGGCTCTGTGGTTAAGAGCACTTGTTGCTTTTGTAGAGGATCCAGGTTCAGGTTCAAGTCCCAGCACCCACATGGCAGCTAACAATTGTTCTCAACTCCAGTACCAGGGGATCTGACACCCTCTTCTGAACTCCGTGGGCTCTGCATGACCTAGGCACACTTAAATATATGCAGGCAATACACTCATACACATAAAATAAAAATAAATTAAAAAAACAAAAAACCTCATGCCAAACCAATGGCATCTAGTGTGAGGAAGACTATCTGACTGCAGGTCAAACACTGGAAAGGGCTGTTAAAAAGACTGGTGCCATCTCAAGTTAATAACCAGAAATTGCTTAGTCAAATGAAAACACCGACACCTTCAGTATATACACAATGGCCCAATTGTATCCAGAAACATGTCCATATACATCAAAATGGTTTAGAAGGAACACGGCAAATAAAGTAGTGTATTCCATGCTTTGTGGCCATGGAATCCATCTCCCTCACACTCACCTATTTTTTTCTTAATAACTATGAAAATCTCATTAAGTGTTCCAAAGCAGAGATAGAGGAACAGTATTTAGGGGTTCCAAGGGCTGGCCACAAGCAGGGTAAAGACTTGAAGTCCTCCCTGGAAGAATTGGAAGTACCTGGGGGCCACTTCAGGAAGCTTTTGGAGAGATACAAGGGAAGTTCTTATCGCAGGCCCATCCTCTGTGAGAGTGAAGAGACTCTAGCTTTCACGGGGAACAGACCTATACTGTTTCAGTCCAGCATACTGCAGCTCCATATACACAAATAGAAGAGCACAGGAAGGGCTCCATTACGATGAGTGATGCAGCTAGTCACTGAGAACATTCCTGACGCTATCTGCTGGAACACTGTCGACTAACTACTTAGAGTCTAACAACACAACTAGAGGTGGTTCTAGATGCTCAGAAGAAATGTAGCTCTTCTATGACACCCCAAACATGTACTTGAGTGTTTAAAGGCTTTAGAAGATCCATAGTAAAGAAACCTAGGTGGCCTTATGTAATGGCTGTTTATTTTATCTAACAATGGGACATTTTAGCCCCACAGCATTACCATTTTCAAAACTGCAGAGTGAAGGAAGAGAAAAGGCCTAATTAGGGTAGATGTTCCCTAAGGTGACGGAAGACAAGGTCAGACCTCAGGAAATTATAGTTAACTATTTGTAGGTAATAATTCGTCATGAATACAAAATGTAACTTCACCTCAAAAAGGATGACAAGGTGAAGTTGGCAAAACATTTGTATTTCAAAGATGTAAAAATGATATACAATTTTGAGCACACCTTGGGCCTAGTTTGCTGAACTCACCTACAGCTGGATTTGCCTGGTTGCCATGTTTCCATGCCATCTCATAGTTGAAGGCTGCATCTGTATATGCTTGCTCCTTCTCCATAATATAGCCCATGTACTCATATGCTTTGCAGCAAGACTAGAGAAAAATGGAAGACATATGAACAGATTAAAGATACCACTAAGATTTTATGGGATGTGGATGAGTATATAGACCAATCTTAACATAAGGGTGTGCATACTTTACATATATGTGTACCCTATTATGAATAATTTAAACACAAATATAAACGAGTATATAATGAACTCCATGAACCCAACACTTTCCTTCAAAAATTAACTGCTGACTGATGCTGTCTTTGCTTCTACCCGACACACACTTCCACATTACCAGAAGACACTTCTCAGATACCGTATAATTTCAACCACACAGAGGTTAGAATGCTTCTCTAAAACATAAGACTTTCTTAGACATAAACCTAATTCATGACACATTTAACATACCGACTTTCAGACACTAGTCAAATTGCAAATTGTAGAAATATAATTGATATTTTAAGTTTGTTAGAAAGAGAATCCCTAACAACCACAGGTGGTAACTGGTTTGGAAGTCCATTTTGATCTAGAGGTTTTTCTCATCTGCCTCTATTATCTTAACTAAAAGTAGTGTAAGGAGGAATATTTACTTCAACACAAATTTAGCAGACTGTTTTGTGCTATTACATAATATGCTTCAATGTCACTGATACTCCCCTTTTATAGAGGTTTACTGTGAAGTGTTTGAATTCACCAGTAGGCTTTATTATAACTTTGTTTTCCTTATTCCAATAATTTTTATTAAAACCATGTTCTTCTATTAAGAGAGATGGCTCAGTAGTTAAAAGTAATAGCTGCTCTTGAGAGGATGCTAGCTTTGGTTCCCAGCACCCACATGGCAGTTAACAATGGTCTGTAACTCCAGTTCTGGGGGATCCAAGATCCTCTTTTGACTTCTGATGGCACTGTACACACATGGTGCACTGAGGTACGTGCAGGCAAAATACACAAGTAAAAAATAAAAAAATCTAAAAACCCCATTTCCCATTAAAATACCTATATAAAAACATAGATGTGGGGGAATGTCCCTATTTCTTTCCATTCAGATGCCCTGTAGCTTAGCACAGCAAGTGAGACTTTAATGTTCTGATATTATATTTTCATTTCTCTTCCTTTAAAATATATTGTGTTGTTATCTTATTATTGTGCATTTCTTTTCTTCATCCATTCTTGCCAGACACTTTTTCTTCTAACAGAAACCACAGAATGTTTGATTTTCTCCATTTTTATGATATTCTGTCCATTCATAAATTCACCAATGTTGAAAATGGTGATATTTTAGCACTTCATATTTATTACCTGGAAAATGTCTACATTGACAAATTGGCTACTTAATAGAGTATAGCTATATAGAAAACGAAGGACAGGTCTAAACTTTTTCCCATTGCCTGCCTGCTTTGGGAGCAATAGCCAGGTTATTAGCACAGGCAGTGTCCACCACATTGCTTCCTTTTTTCTTTTTTGTACTTTTATAGTCATGGATTTAAGCATCTTTGATGTATTTCAGTCTATTACAGCTATCATTACCTTTGGTACTTAATGTCCCAACTTTGGCTGCTGGACTACCTTCAACTTGGCTCCTGAGTGCCTAACACCACCCTCACCATCTCTGACAGCTTCCTTACCAATCTGGTGTGACAAACTGCTCTAGTGTCATCTTATGCATTTCTTGGTCTAAATCTAAATGATTTCCATTTTCAGATTATATAATCAAAGGTTTCTAAGATTCAGTACCTAAATTTCATGCTTCCAAAATAGACATGCCTAATTAACAGGACCAACTGAAGGCTCTGAAGTAGTGATCATGTTCAGTCATGCATGGTTCTGTGTCAAAACCTTAATTCCTCCTCAATGTTGCTTAACTCTAGACCAGTCATAATGAGGTTCAGCTACTCAGTAGTTATCATTTTAAAGCTTGTTAATGAGTATTCTGTTTTCAAGGCCAATTTAAGTTAAAATTGCTGTAACTGATCATTTGGAATAGTTTACCAATTGATAAAGGACTGAATGTTTTAAGTTGTGAAGTTCCTAAGAAAGTATCTTAATACTATTAGATAATCATTAACACTCCTTAAAAAATAAATGACCCATTTTATAATCTAATTTGCTCAATGAGAATAAGAACCAGAAGATTTACTGAGATTACAATTTTTAAATTAATTGGTATGAACCTGTAAAAAATATCTTCAAGTTTCTAAGGTGAATAATACAAGTACTTCTCAGCAAATAATAACTCACCTTAATGAACTCAGAGCAAGAGTAATGGCACACACAAGGCCCACATTAAGCTCAAGCCAGACAAAAATCCCAATGTAGATGTGGGAAAGAGGTTAAGAAACCCCAACGCTACCTGAGGAAGTATTGGCAACCAATGGTTGCTGGGAGGGGGAGAGTCAGTCTCATTTAAGGATGAGGCTTTTGTTAGGTTGTCTAGGCTATAGTGGATGGACCCACATTGAAGGACATTTAGGGACACGAAATTTGACTTTATATATATTACATAATACACGTATATATTATATACATAATATAGTATATGAAAGAGGGATACAGAAGATCTAAATATGATCAAAACATTGTATAAAGTTCACAAAACTTCAATAAAAAGGGGGAAAAAGTCTAAAGCACTGCCATAATAACACATCTCCTTTGTGTGTCTAACAATAGGAAATTAATGAAAGCCTTACATTCTATGGACTTGATTTTTAAGTTTGTACCTAAAGATAAGGATTTTTATTAAACTGAATTAAAAGCTGACAAGGACTCCCACCCTTAACTATATTATGCACAGTGGAGTCTAATAATTTGGAAATGACATGCAGCTGCAGTAAATTCATCAAGATCATTTCTTAATGGGAGGGACAGAAGTCCGCAATTAATGCTCTGCAATTTTCATTAGTTCTGGGATGAGATGCGTAATCACAGCAAATGCTTGACATTCCAAAAACACTTTCTATAAGTAGGGCATCACCACAGCTGGAACTTGAAGCTGCATAAATCTATTTATTTCTTTATTTTTAAGGGAAAATGGCTTCCTTATTATTCATGTTTTATTTCCTGATTATAAGAGTAAACATTTAAAATTAAAAAAAAAATACCAGGGAATGGTCAGAAACAGACCATCATTCTATCCCAGAAAGCTTAGGCAACAAAGCTTAACACTCCACGCACCTTTCAGTCACCCACCTTATTGTGACACAGGCACCGTTTTAGCAGTTCTTCTGCCACGTCGTATTTTGCTGACTGAATATAGATATCGGCGAGCAGCAGCCAGCTCTTCTCAAGATCCTCAGCATCAACAGGATTCCAAGTCATTTTTGCAATTCGCTTCAGCTGGTTTCTAGCTTTTGGCGTCTGTCTGAGGATCATATACGCTGTTGCCATTCCTAAGAGTGCTGGGATATGATCCTTCTGCAAAAAGGGAAAACTTTAGATCACAAGATGCACAGTGTGGAAAGTGGCAAATGCTAAGAACTTTTCTGTGCATTCTGTTTCTGGTGCCATGCCTAATAACTGTGATTACTGTCACTATTTAACACAGCAAGTAATCTCAAGCTACCACAAGGAAACTTAATCTAGCAATGTGTGGTCAAAATAATTCACTAATTATGCAGCCGCTAGAAGCACACAGTTCGAACAATTAGTACAACAGGATTTCTAACGGGACTGACTGGCTAACTCAGTTTCGTGTAGAAAGAAAAAAGAAAGCAAACTGATTTTACTATAATGCTTCTCGAGAAGCTTTTCTTTCATGTTTAAAGTCTTGCTTCCCTGGTTCTTTCACCTGTCAAAAGGTGCGACACATTTATTTCAAAACAATAGGCCTTATCCATATTGACTGCCATTTTCCCTCCCTTTTATTAAACAAAATCACCTATTCTCCCAGAGAAGTTGGGCTAATGAAATGCTATAAACATGGTATGTACTTAATTACTTAGACATTCTATAAAATAAATGTATGGCTTGAAAAGACTTTTAGATGTAGAGTCTGCAGTCTCCTGGTAGGGTCTATAAAGCAAAATATTCTTTATTTAGATTTAAAGTAAAAAAAAGTCACTCTGTGAAGTCAAAAGTTTAATAAGAATTGGTACAAAATGGAAGCCATTAGGAATCTATGCAAAAAACATGCGCAAGCAACAGTATAACCCGGAGAAGAATGTGATACATTTTCTCTGTATTATACAGCATTATATTCAGTATGCTTTTCTTATTTTCTAAAGATTATGAGAAAATTGGAACAAAGAGCTACTCGTTTTTTTGTGATTCCCATTATGCTGAGCACCTACTTGCTGCTTAATGAATATTCATTATATTGTACATATTCAATTTATGAGTTAAAAGGAAAAAATGCAAGACAAAAAACTGTGTTCATAAAATTTTAGCTCATCCATCATTATCATTTGGATAATGTTATCCATAAACAGATTTGAGGATAGAGCATTAGTAATAATACAAGCAAACATGCTGAAAAAATGCAGTCTTAACCTACACCAAAAACCTTGCTTAATCTTTCCAGGAAATAGCTGTACCATCATTCACTGCACCTGGCTTTTCTTTCTTTTAAACTTTACAACAGGAATAATGGATTTACTTAAAATAAACTTATTGCTATGTGATAGACTACCTACCACTCACAGCAGCTGGTGGCTAAACACCAACTGGAAACTGTGCTTTAGATTTTTCTTAGACTGACATCAATATTGTGCTTCCCTTCCTTCAGCAGCTAATACTCATTTGCTACAGAAGACCAAGTGAACAGAGTCCAGTTCTTAAGAATGCCATTTCAATGCTTGCAGAAGGGCTCTGCTCCCTGTGGGCTAATACTGAGGCCAGCCTGCTGTTTCGTCCCAAGGGTGGCTCACAGTCATCATGAAGCTGCCATCTAAGGCAGCTCTACCTGAACCCATAACATTTCAATCCTTTTTAAGGTTCTAGAAAGGGGGCAAAGGGACCACTGTAGGGGTTTTGGAAGTCCTGCTGCTACAACTGTTACCTCTAGGCCAAAAAAGACAAACAAGCTGCAGAAATCTTCTGAGAGACACACAATTATAGGTTTTCAGTGGCCTGGAGTATTGTCGAGTGGAAGAACAAACAGATGCTGTGATGCTAGTGGGATACAGGCATTACTGACTGCCGGGTTAGGTGACTATTCCTTCCTTAGTCGTACAGTGTGTGGAAAGGCCCAATGGAACACCTAGAGGGTGAGAGGATGTGGATCTGAGTGGGGGGGGGGGGATACTAGCAATAGAAAGATTCCAGGAGGTCATTTTGACGTTGCTAAAGAAAATCATTATTTGCACAACCGAATTCTAAGTTGTCAGCACACTTAGGTCTATAGCTGGTGAAATTCCAGGTCCAGATAAGTGAGAAGGTGGACAGCAAGGCAGCTAGGTATTTATTTTCACTTAGTGAGTTAGTCTAGGCCACATCTATAGTAGTGACCATCCAGAACATAAAGCTCTTCCTTTCAGAACCATCTCATAATCTTCTGAAGAATTTCCTTTCTGGAGAAGTCAACATTCCCACAGAGATGAGCACATAACAACACATCAAAACACAAGGTACATTGTATAGGACTGTGCCAAAGCAGATATCTACCTTTCATTGAGAATAAGCTATTAAGTCATTCTTCAAAAAACAATCAACTAGGCAAAATAGCATTTCCATATTACAAAAAAAAAAAAAATACACAAAGTTGAAAAAAACTACTCACCTCAGAGGCTGCTATTTCGGTGAAGGTACTGAGTGCTTGCTCCACACTAGATTTCTGTTTGGTGGCCATTAGGCAGCAGTTTTCCATTATGCGAAGTTGTACGTGACCCTGAATGGTCTGAGGTTTCAGTTCTTTCAGGAGTTTTTCTGCTGTTCTCACTGCTAGCTGCACAGACTCCTGCTTTTCACTTGAACTGCTGTATCCAGTAAGAAGAAATCATATGTGGATATTACTCATGGTTCAAGATTGGCTGATGTTAGAACATTGGGTACTGGCTTCTTTTGTCACTCATTTAAAAAGAATTATTAGTACAGAATGTCAATCATTCTCTTCTAGTACAAAGGACTGCAGTAATACATGCATTTTAAACAAAATTAATCTATTCTCGGTAAATTACCGTTACACCACAAATCTCTCTAGAATGAAAATAAAAAAACAGTCATTATCTGTATGTGGAAAACATTTATTTCAGTCAATATAAAACTTGAATAAAAACAAAATCATGCTGGTCTAGTGCATGTGAGGCCCTGCATTCTACCCGTGGCACCCCCAAAAGAAAATCATTTCGAAGCAGAATCATAAACTGACCAATGGTTATACATACTCAGAAAGCACAAGAGAAAAAAAGAAGGAAAAAGGCCGATTACTGTATGATTTAATTTAATATATGCTGCATATATTTTATATTTGGGAAAATGACTCAGAAGGTGAAATGATTTTCAGAGATCACACATAATAATAAATAAAATTAATCTTAGAAAAAATGCTTCAGGCCTGAGAATATTTGAATTGTTATCATATCTGAAATTTGTTACCTCGTATCACATTTCCTTTCTGAGAGTCTGAGAGGCAACATGGCAAAGAAAATAGAGATTTTTATATATGTTATAAACTTAGAAGCAGATCCCAGACTTCCCATGACTGCTGCTTGCTGCAATGCCTCCCCACCGTCTGGAAACACTCATCCCTTTGGATAAACTCTTCTATAAGTAATAAACTCTTCTGTAAGTAGCTGTTGGTCACAGTGGTTATCACAGCAACAGAAAAGTAATACAGAAGTATGTTGGTTAGCTTTTGGTCAGCTTGACACAAGAGACACTTGGGAAAAGGGAAGTTCAACTGGGGAATTTCTTCCATCTGTGACTGACCTATGGTCATGCCTGAGGCATTTTCTTAATTGCTAACTAATACAGAAGGGCTCAGTGCACTGTGGGCAATGCCATCCCTAGGCTGGTGTGCCTGAGCTGTATAAGAAAGGTAACCAAGTCAGCCAGGGAAAAGAGCCAGTACACTGTTCCTCCATGACCTTTGCTTCAGTTCCTGCCCTGACTGTCCCCAATGATGGTATGGGACTAGAAAGTGTAAGCCAAATAAATCCTTCCCCCAAGTTAAGGTTTAGTCAGTGTTTTTATCAAAACACAAACAACGCCAGGCACTGTGGTACCCTTGGGAGGCAGAGGCAGGTGGATCTCTGAGATGGGGCCACCCTGGTTTACATTCTAGGCAGGCTGTGACTAGGGAGAACCTGTCAAAAAACAAAAAGCAAAACAAACAAACAAAAACAAAAACAACATAAACCAAAGCAGAATACTATCTTCTTAATATGTCCTCCCCTTTGGCTTCTATAACTGAATAGTTTGGCTCCCTTTGCTTATCTCCCTGAGACCTATTAAATGTTAGTATGCCCCAAATCTAGTTCTGTTTTCTGCTACTACATACAACTTGCAAAAAGACCCTTCACGCAGATGTCATCCAAATCTGTATGTGCACTGGTAATTCCCTCCTGAGTTCTAGTTTGTATGTTCAACTGCTTATAGACGATCTCCACCTGCACAGCCCTTAGGTCTCTAACAGTTTATCCCAACCTTCCTCACACACAAAACAACAAACAGACCATTTCCCTACTTCAAAATTTCACTGGTTTCTATAATCCCAACCTTCAAATCTGTTCTTTCAACCTCTCAGCACTTTATACCTAATGCTCTTCCACCTTCCACTGACAAGTATGCACTGCCATGAACTCCTGCAACCCTTAATATCTCTTTACACCATTATCTCTGATGTGAGAGATTGAATGGTCTCAGGTTGTCTTGTAAATAGAGTACATGCTCACTATAATACAACCAGCAAGAGATTAGTTTTTTAAATATGTAGAGAAGTGGTGAGAGGCAGAAGCAGGAGGGTCACCTCAGCTACATGTCAACTTTGATGCCAGCCTAGTCTCAAAAAAAGAAAAAAAGAGCTGGGCATAGTGGCATATGCCTTTGATCTCAGCACTCGAGAGGCACAGGCAGGTGGATATCTATAAGTTTGAGGCCGTAATGAGTTCTAGGCTAGCTGGGGCTACGGGGGGGTGGGGCAGAGAGAGAGAGAGAGGTTTTTTTTTTTTTTTTTTTTTTTTTTTGTCTTTTTGAGACACGTCTCCCCAGGTGGTTTGGAACTCTCTATGTAGATCAGGCTGGCCTTGAACTCAAGAAATTCACCTGCCTCTGCCTCCTAAGTGCTGGGATTAAAGGCGTGTGCTACCACACCTGGAAGATTACGTGCTCTTAAAAGGCAGAAACTACCTGCTCTGTTCTCTTTATATCTTTAAATATCTTCCACTACTTCTGAGGAAGAAATGAAAGCATTTCCAAGCAGCATCACACAGCGAGCACCACAACAGTTGTAGGGCTGGCTAGCACCCAATCCAAGCCATGCTCCATGTTTTCTAACCATCATATCAGACAAGGTGAAGCTGAGCTTACTTCATGATGCTGTTGCAGGAAGTAAGATAGTGCACACAGAACAGAGCACAGACAAGCATAAAGCTCCCACCTGTAAAGTTGGTACCATTATCTCTATATTTTTGTACGTGTGTGGATGTGCATGTGTATATGTATACATGTTTCTGTGTGTAAATGTGCATCCATGCCTGTGGAGGCCCCTGTGGAGGTATGAGGTTGACATGAGGAGTGTTCTTTGATTACTCTCTACCTTATTAATTGAATAGGGTCTCTCAGCTGAGTCCAGAGCTCGCTGGCATAGCCAGTCTAACCACCTGGCTTGCTCCGGGAGTCTCTGCCTTCTGAACACCAGCTACCATGTCCACCAAGGTGCCCTGAATCCTGGGGATATGAACTAGGGTCCTTAAACTTACTAGGCAAACATTTTATCCACTGAGTCACCTCCCCAGCCCCAAGTTATTACTTTCATTGTGTGGACAGGTTTTAGCATGGCTGTCAGATTCTGTAATCTATTTTATTTTTTACAGAACAGTTGGAAGATTTCCTTTATAATGCATCTATTATGATTTAGGAAACCTAAAAGCATTTCATGCCTGATACAGAATATCATGTCATTTTAGCTGTACTAAGTCTATCGGTCTTTTCCTTAGAACTATCCTAGAAGTTAGTTCTCTTGCTTTCTATCTACAATGAATGTTTTAAACACTGTACCAAAGGAAATGGGTCAAACACTACTCACCCAAGGTCTCCATCCAGGTTTTCAAACACTTCACCCCCAATAGTTTCATTATCTGGATTCAGACAGATTTCTATCATATTATAAAGGGCATTCTGGCCCCAATCGCTATCTTTCCGAGCTTTATTAAAATGTCGAAGGGCATCATTTGGTTCTCCGGTATACCTTATTGGATGATTAAAAAAAACTCAATCACTGCTTACAAATTTTATACTAGCTCATACTATGATTGATAAATAAATCTATTAAAATATTTCAAAGTGCATAACTTATTTTTATGAAGAAAAGCTTATTCAACTTTCTCTACACTGAGGGGGCAACAACCATTATGATGTAGGATTTATTTGCCAACAGTTACCAAAAATGTAGTCCTTTACAGTACTGAAATCCTGGGTCCAACTTTGTTCTGGAGCTGTATTTCTCAGCCATTGAGAAAAATCGTGGAACTTCCTCAAGTTTTCCACATCGTCTCAGGAGATCAATCAAACGAGACAAAGTCACAAAATTATCTAGAAACAAGCAGTACTTCAGATAGGGACATTTTAAAACTTTGTTCTGATGTACAATTTACTTCACATGAAATATCTATAATATAAACAAAGACCTATAATAGGGGTTACAACTTCCTAAACAGGTTTACAGTCAACTGGATCATCTATCAAAGAAATACAAGTTCATCTGTGCTGGCCATTGCGGGAGAAGGAATGGTCATGTCTAGAAAAGTGTACATTTGTTGTTACTTTTCAGTTTCTCCTAGGAATCACACCTTCTAGAAACTATCTCAATCTATGTAATCTAGACTCTAAAACTCATAAGATGGACTGATCCTTCAGGGTACATGAACTATTTCTGCAAACCTATATCCTGTTTACTGCAGATGGGAGGCAAGTCATAGGAAAATATGTTGACAGTGTTTGAGATGGGCAATCAGAAATTTTATTCCAGAGTTTAATGTGTATCTACACAAAAGTCTATACTCTACCTTACAATACCATAGCCTAGTATTTTAATCTTGTTTGTCTTTTTCTACAGAAAAAGAATTCAGTTATTTGGTCTCCAGTATAATTCTCCAGCAAGTTCTTAAAAGATCTCCCAATTCTTTCTAGCTTTTGCTTATCAGTAATATACTAATATTTGAGAATGATTTTGAAAATAATTCATGAACACTAAAAAGGGAAAAATACACAAAACTGTGTATGAAGAAGAAAGTTACTCATTCTCATAACAAACATAGGGATGAGTACAGTCTGCTGTGCTCCTTTTATACATTTATGGTAACAATCAATTAATATGTACACAGCTATTCTTTGCTTATATATAAACAAAGACACAGAGATTTGATTTCAACATTAAGCAGTAAGTATTTTCCAACTGTCAATAAGTATGCTTCATTGATATTATTTTAACAGCTGCCTAAACAGTCCATTACACTAGTAGTTAACAGTTTATTTCTTTTCTCTAGGATTCTCTTTAGGCTCCTATGTCTCAATCATCACATACAATGTAGAAACAGAATGTTACATAGATAATAAAAAATAATTAAAATGTAATGCTTAAAACTAACACTGATCCATTCATTGATCACTGAGTGAATGATGCAATGAATGCTTTTCACTCACTACTTTCCTTTCCACATTTTTTCCTATTTTCTCTAATCTCCAACATCCTTTGGACCTTCCTTACGCTCAACGAAAAATCTTGACAATTACTTCTAAAACAAAACTCTACTCCCTGTCTATTCCCAATCCTGGCCATTCATTGAACCATTTTATAATCATTTATTTTGAACTACGTGACTGGTTTGTATCTGATACTGGGGATTTAAGATTAATATTTTAGGAGCTGGAGAAATGGTTCAGTGGATAGTATGACTGCTCTTGCAGAAGACCCAGGTTTGATTCCCAGCACCCACATGGCAGCTAACAACTGTCCAAAACTCCAGTTCCAGGGAATCTGATGCCTTCTTCTGACCTCCATGGGAACTGCACAACACGAGTGCACCTACATGCATGCAGGTAATACACTCATACACATAAAAGAATAAAATAAAAATAATAAATTTTTTTAAAAGATTAATATTTTAGCCTCTCTCCTGGGTGAGTCCATCGCACCCTCCACGCCTTGACTCCCCCAGCCTCATTGACCCTCCCATCTCTCCTGCCTGTCTCTCCTCCTAGGCTGGGTACTGTCCATTCCTTGTATTGGCACCCCAGACACCGAGTGAACCACCACTGCTTCCTGATCCTTTGCATCCAGACCAACCCAGTTCCTTTTTGCAATCCCCAGGAGCCCTCTGGGCCTGGTCCTGCCCTCACCTCCCTCTGCTTCCCTGGGCTCCCCACCCCCCAAGCCTCTCTCCATGGAGCCCTCTGGGCCTGGTCCTGCCCTCACCTCCCTCTGCTTCCCTGGGCTGCACAACCCCCAAGCCTCTCTCCATGGAGCCCTCTGGGCCTGGTCCTGCCCTCACCTCCCTCTGCTTCCCTGGGCTGCACAACCCCCAAGCCTCTCTCCATGGAGCCCTCTGGGCCTGGTCCTGCCCTCACCTCCCTCTTCTCCCTGGGCTGTACAACCTGCCAGCCTCTTACCTGGACACCGGTGCTGACCTCTCGGCTTCCTGATCCTTTGCATCCAGACCAACCCAGCTCCTACCTGCAGTCCCCAGGAGCCCTTGGGACCTCTTCCTGGCCCCATCTCCCTTTGTATCTCTGGATGGCATGGCCAATAGCTGCCCGAGACCAGCATCTTTCCTGGGCCCTGCTCCCAGGCCCATCCAACCCCCAAATTCATAAGTACAACATCTTTCCTAGAGGGATCCAGACCTTAGGAGAAAGCCTGAGAGCATCTGATCCTCAGATGACTTGGGCCTCTGTGGGAACTCCTGAAGACAAAAGCAATCTGGCCACTCCAATATAAAATCAAAAGAGAGAATCGGAAGCTTAGACGAACTACCTTTTTATGCCCAAAAATTAAACCACAAAGACACACAAAGTTTACACAAAGAAGCAGACATAAATTTGAAGGCTTGAGTTTCACACAAGAATCAGAAACTACGAAAGAAATTCACATGTCAAAATCACAGAGAAAAAAATAACAACATGAGAAACAAAAGTAACATATCCCCACCAAATACCAATAGTCCTCTAGAGGAATACAATGAGAACCCCCTAGAGATAATGCAGGACATGGAACTCAAAAGAACAATTATAAAAATGATAAAAGAATTCAATTTAAAGAACACACAAACAAAGAAATCAAAGAACTGAAGGAAGATAGGGATAAACTTCTGAATGAATTCAGGAAAGAGCTAGAAATATTGAAGGCTACTCAGGCTGAAATGAAAAAAAATTGAAGCACTCAGTAAGCCAATTAGAAACAAAAGGAGAAAGACTCACCAATAGGATGAATGAAATGGAAAACAGAGTGTCAAGACTGGAAAATAAAGTGGACAAACTAGACCACCCAAGCAAAGATCATGAAAATTTTAAGAAATCACAAGAATGGAATATGCAGGAATTGTGTGACCCCATAAAAAGACCAAACTTACAAATCATAGGCATACAGGAAGGAGAAGAATCCCAAGATAATGGCATGGACCAGATCCTCAACAGAATCATAGAAGAAAATTTCTCCAAATTAAAGTAAGATATGCACATACAATAAGCATATAGAACACCAAACAGACAGGACCAGAAAAGAAACTCTCCATTGAACATCATAGTAAAAACACTAAACATACAGAACAAAGAGGCAATAATGAAATCTGCAAAAGAAAAACAAGTCACATATAAAGGAAAACCCATTAGGAGTACAGCTGACTTTTCAGTGCAAATTATGAAAGCCAGAAGGGCCTAGAACAAAGTATTCCCAGTTTTAAATGACCACAGAGCCAACCCAGATTACTATACACAGCCAAAATGTCTATTATAGTTGAAGGGGAAAGAAAAATCTTCCATGACATAAATTGGCTGAAGGAATTTATGTCCACAAAACCAGCCCTTCAGAGAGTTCTGGAAGCAATACAAAGGGCTGAAGAAAGGAACAACTATACCCAAGGGGTTGCGGAAAGAAATCAATGAAGGTATAACTGTGGAAAAGTATAGCTATATCAAGAATGTAAACAGAAATAAAAATGACAGGATTCAATATACATCTTTCATTAATAATTTTAAATGTTAACAGACTGAACTCCCCAGTCAAAAAACACAGACTACGTGAATGGATTAAGAAACAAAACCCATCTTTTTGTTGTCTGCAAGAAACTCATCTCACTTTCAAGGACAGGCACTATCTTAAGGTGAAAAGATGCAAAAAAAAATACCAAGTGAATGGTATTAATAAAAAAGCAGGTGTTGCAATTACAATATCTGACAAAATAGACTTTAAAACGAATCAGAAGAGATAAAGAGGGCCATTTCATTCTGATCAAAGGAACAATAAACCAAGAAGATATTACAAGTATGAACATATATTCACCAAACTCTGGTGCATCCAACTTCATAAAAACAATACTACAGGACTTTAAGAACCAGATTAACCCCAACTCATTAACAGTAGGGGACTTCAATACCCCACTGTCTCCATTAGATAGGTCAACAGGCCAGAGACTTAACAGAGAAACATCTGAATTAAACAATAACATATATCAAATGGACCTAACAGACATCTACCAAGTATTCCACCCAAGCACCAAAGGACATACTTTCTATTCAGCACCCCATGGAACCTTCTCCAAAATCGATTATATGCTGGGGCACAAAATAAACCTCAACAAATACAAAAGATTGAAATAATTCCATGCATTCTATCAGACCACATGCAATAAAGCTTATAATCAACACCAGAGGAAGATTAAACAACACACTCCTGAATGATGAATGGGTCAAAAGAGAAACTAAGAAAGAAATAAAAGTATTCCTGGAACTAAATAAGAAGGACAATACAACACAACAAAACCTCTGGGACATGCTGAAAGCTGTCCTTAGGGCGAAGTTTGTAGCTCTAAGTGCCTACATTAAAAAATCATAAAGAACACAAATAAAAGACTTAACATTGCAACTCAAGAACCTTGAAAACAACAACAAATGAAACCCAAACCCAGCAGACAAGAAGCAGTTAACCAAAAGAAAGAAAGAGCACCTCCAAATCAACAAAATCAGAGATGAAATGGGAAACATCACAACAGACACCAAAGGGATTCAGAACATTATAAGGGAATAATTTAAAAACCTATATGCTACTAAATTTGAAAACCTAAAAGAAATGGATGCATATGTAAAGGAATGGGAACCACCAAAACTAAACCAAGAAGACATTAACAGCTTAAACAGACCAATATCACAAAAAGAAATTGAAACAGTAATACAAAACCTCCCGACTAAAAAAGCCCAGGACCAGATGGAATTACAGCAGAATTCTATGAGACATCTAAAGAAGATCTACATCCAATACTACTTAATTTATTCAAAAAGATAGAAACAGAGGGAGAACTTCCAAATTCCTTCTATGAAGC